AAATTTTGCTTAACTTTTATTATTTTCTAATAATATGAAATGATTAGTTTTCTAAAATGCTATGTTTTGTATAAATGAATGATTGTCCAAGTTTTCGAAATGTACTCATGGCATCCATAGCAATATATGATATTTAGTGTCCCTTTATGGGTCATCAGGTCCCTGTATGGGTCATTAAGTCCTTTTTATGGGTCATCAGAATGCCTTATGGTCGTCCCTTTATGGGTCATCAAAAACGTCTCCATACACATGAGTCATCAGAATGCCTTTATAGTCGTCCCTTATGGGTCATCGAATCTGTTAATGCTAATGGATGTACCACGTATGATCATGAGAATTATATGCACTATGAACATGAATATGAATATGTATATGTTTCTGAATATGAATCTGAATTCTGAATCTGTTATAGACATCATTCATGAAAACCTTTACTTTGTTATTATTCACTGGGCTCCAGCTCACCGTATTATTTATATATGTAGGTGATCAGGCACGTGATCAGGGCTAAGCTATTGCCTGGAGTTCTGTCTGTCTTCCAGCCACTGTGCCTCCAGAGGAGGTTCCCTTTTGAGAATTGGCCAAGTTTTTGTAAACAATGTTTAAGATCTTTTTGTATTTCTTTGTTAAGCTTAATCTGGACTTTTGTTGTCTGTATGTATGGATAATGACGTGGCTAAGATGTCTACTTATGTAAATATAGGTTCTAAATTTTTTGTCTCATGTATGTCTGCACAGCTCTATGGATGTTATATGCTTGTATTTACTTCTGCTAGCCTCTGTATTTGGTTTAATTTGTTCAGAGGCCTTTGGTAATCCCAAGATTACTAGCCGGTTACGACACTAAACCTACAGGGGCGGGCTTGGGTCATGACAGATATGTCATAATTTGTCTTTATGTGGATGACATGCTTATCATTGAAAGCAGTCAAAACATGATCAAATCAACCAAGTAAATGCTAAACAAAAGATTTGATATGAAAGATATGAGAGTCATAGATGTTATATCAAGAATTAAAATTACTAAAACATTTAATGGATATGCATTATCACAATCTCATTATATGGAGAAAATTCTTGGTAAATATATCAAGGATGATGTGAATGTAGCAAGAACACTAGTAGACATCAGTATTTATTTATCGAAAAATAAAGTTGATGAGGTATCTCAGTTAAAATACTCTCAAATCATTGGAAGCCAAATGTACCTAATGAATTGCACGCGTCCTCATATAGCTTATGTTGTCAGTAAATTGAGTAGGTACACCATAAAGAAGACCATTGGAAAGCGATTATTCGAGTTCTTTGATATCTAAGATTTACCCGTGATCATGGCTTAAACTTTCCTCGATATCCAGCAGTACTCGAAGGTTATTGTGATGCAAATTGGATATCGAATACTAAAGATTCAAAAACCACTAGTGGATATATCTTTACTCTAGGAGGCACTACTGTTTTTTGGAAATCCATGAAACAAACATGCATCACACGATCCACGATGAAATCTAAGTTCATTGCTTTAGACAAAGCAGGAGAAAAAGCAGAATGGTTTCGCCACTTCTTAGAAGACATTCCAATGTAGCCAAAACCTGTGCCAGTTATTTGCATTCATTGTGATAGTTAATCTGAAATAAGCGGGGCACAGAGTCATATGTATAATGGTAAGTCATGACATATTCGTCGTCGACATAATACCGTAAGGCAATTGCTCTCAAGTAGAATAATCTCAATAGATTATATAAAATCTAAAGAGAATATTACAGATTTGTTAACAAAAGGTTTGGCAAAAGAGCAAGTGTATAGTCTATCGAAGGGGATATGAATAAAGCCTATTACATAAGTGTCATCATAATGGTAACCCAACTTAAATGACTAGAGATCCCAAGAACTAAGTTCAAATGGACAACTAAGTTATGTGTGGCTCGCCAGAGGGGATTAAAATTCCCTATCCATTCCTATGGTAAGTGTGATATCTGCAACATGTGTTGTATGCAGGGGATTAAGGGTAAGCTTTGCTTTTAATGATTACTTATATCTTGATTTATGCATAAAAATCAAGACGAGTATAAGAGATACTCACAATAAGAATCACATATATGAGTGTCGAATTGGGGTTGGTTCTATAAGAATGAAGAGGCTAAATTTTCTAAAGCACTCGTGAACAATCAGGAGTGTTCAAAGCCAAAATAAACACAACCGTAAGAACCACGATGTGTCAAAAGATGTTTTGTGTGAAATCTCTTGTCTTGGCTTACACAAACGGCTGAACAATTCAAGGTATCGCGTCCATTGGTTAGCTAGTAAGTCCGATAGATTTTCACTAGGGAAGATTTAAGGCCAAAAACTACCATCTTAATGCAAGATATTTTCGATTTATATTATTTTGACAAATTCTACATATTGTTGCATTCCCGTTGTCATCAGATTTCATTCATATGAGGGATTGTAAGAAATGGTTTGGGAAAAAATAGGCCTGCGTTTGGTTGTGTTTTGTAAATGTGATTTGAGAGTATGAGTTGTATTTTGAGTTTGTGTGTTGTAGAATTATGATTTGAGTGTAGAAAATTTGTTTGGTAAAGAGTTTTGAAAATAGTTTTGGAAAAGAGGTTTGATTTGAGTGGGGAATTGTTGATGTGACATTTGATATGTGATACAAAAATTTACAACTCATAACTAAACATACAATTCAAAATTATTTTAAAGTACATAAAAAATTTAAAAATTTTCAGAAAATATTTTTCCCGATTATATAAATGAATTGAAAAAAAAAAAAAAAAAATGTGCAGCAGAGGACATCCGGGCGGATGTCCCTAGGGAAAAAAAAAAAAAAAAAAATCTGTACAGCAGAGGACATCCGGGCGGATGTCCCTAGGGACGTCCGGGCGGAAGACCCCATGGACATCCGGGTGGTCTTCCCTGAGGCAAAAAAATCACAAAAAACGCTACTGATGCACAGAGCTCTCGGCAGAGATTTTGAAAATTGATTCCAAACACTCAACCAAACATCATACTGAAACACACCTGTAGAATTACATTTTCAATTCACAACCAAACAGAGCCTAGATTTTTTTCAAACTTTGGTCTAATTTTTAAGTGGGACCCATGCGTTAAAGTTGATGGGTCCTTGTGGCAACGGGTTCTTTGTCACGTAACGATTCACATCGTATATTTGGTTGCTCAAAACCATTATCGAATGAATAAGAAATTGATGCCAAAATGAGCTCCATGAAAATGGTATGTTTGGTGAAATTTCTATGAATGTTAAAGTTAAGGTTTGTCCCATATTGCTTTGATGGACAAATTTTGTGTGACTTTATAAGGCTTAGGTTTACAACTTGAGGAAGGCCCTAGGAGGTACCCAAGTTTTATAAAAGGGTAAGGTTATGGGCAAAGTGGGCTAGACTCATTTGACCCAAAACAAAAACACATGCGCGGGCCGCCGCCGTTGTCCGTCCGGGCGGGTTAGGCTGGGGCACAGATGAGTGGTGTGAGGTTGGGTTAGGTTTGTCCGGCTCAATATTAATTCTTTTTGGGTTAAAAACATTCGAATTTTTTTTTTATTTGGAAAATAAATTCTACCATTTGAATTCAAATTTCTTTGAAAAAATTCAAATTTTGGCTTGCACCTCTTCAAACCTTTTTGTACAGATTCCATACCTATCTGAATAAGTTCATATATGTTCAGTTCAAACCCATATCTGTTCAATTCAAACCATACAGATTTTGTATATGTTTAATTCAAACCGAACAGGTCTTATACATATTCATCCCTATCCGAATAGGTTTTCTACCTGTTCTGAAAAGCCAATATTCCATATATAAATAGGCAGTCTCTCATTTGGATTTTGTACAAAATTTTCGTTTTTCTCTGCTGCTTTCAACTTCTGCATTTTGCTGCATTATTTTTCTTGTAAGAAATAGTGTAAACACAAAGTGTGTTTGTTATGCGAATAGTTTGTAGTGCTACTACTATTCGTTGTTAATCATTTTATCTTAAGAGATAAACGTCCACAATTTGAAAGCACTGTGGAGAGAACGAATCTGTCTTAAGGACACAGTGTTAAACACTGGACTTGATCAAAATTTTGTTCAAGAAAATAATAAGGTAAATAATTAGTTTACTTTTCTGTTTTATTAATTTTTTCTTTTTCTGATTCTGATTTTGTTTTTGTAACAAAATAAGAAACTGTTGTTTTTTTTTTTATATATACTGTTTTGATGTTTTGTAATCAAATAGTCTCTCTCCTTTTTTTAATTCTTTCTTTGAATACATTGAAGATTGTCCAACAGTTATATTCCTACAAAAAAATTTCAAAAATTTTCTACAAAAACACTTTTTTATAGACTTTTATCAATAAAAATTTATTTACGTACTTCGTAAATTCCAATCAATAAGAGTATGTGAAAGGATTTATCAAACATTTTTGTTAGACTAGAGAGTTGTTTAGAATACTCTAAATAAATATATTTTAAAAAAATTTAGAAGAAGATATATAAAAACAAATAAAAATGATGACTCAAAAATAAATAAATAAATAAATTGTATAAAAAAAAAATAAAAATGATGACTCAAAAATAAATAAATAAATAAATAATATACTTATATAACTATCCAAATACTCTATAAATTTAATAGGTAATGATAGAGATATCAAATTTTTGATCAAATGAATAATTAAATATCTCACATAAAGGTAGGGTTTACATTTTTTATGAACCTCATATTCATATGAGATATTTAGTCATTCATTTAGTAAAAAATTTAAAACTCATAGCTTTTTTTAAATTTTTAATCGAAATAGTGTCACCTGGAAAACATTTTCTAGCTTCGTTTGGGAAGAAGGGTTAAGCTAGATTTGAGACTATTTTAATAACAAAAAGGTATAATAAATTTTTTAATTCAATAACATAAAATAGCACGTTCAATCATAATTATTATATTTTTTCACTAAAAAAAATAATTCTTTCTCAACCGAAACTTTTTAACCCAGCGCCAAAGAGTCAACCCATCCCAAACGAATCCTCAACCACATCTGCAGATTGAGACCAGCCTCCAGGCCACTTACAGCGCTCCGCCCCCAAAATTTCCCAGGAAAACCAGGCGTCAAGCCTCGATTTTCTTCAGATTTACACGATACAATGGCTTCCTCTGCTATAGCTTGCTCCACACCTTTCATCAAGAAGGTACTCTCAATACCTCTCCAAATATCTCTATCTTCCCAAAATTTTCTCAACAAAATCTCACTGACCCATCTGTGATTCTCTCTCTTTTTTCTTTATTGATGTTCAGGAAGATGTGGGTCTTTCTGCTTTCTCTTCACAATCCTCATTTTCCATGCGAAATGCCACGAAAAGTGTTTCCAGGAAAATTGTGTCCGTCATGGCACCTCAGCAATCTGAACGCAAACCCGCCACCACTGGTTCAGTAGGGTTTTGTTCATTTGTTGTTAGATTGATGTTTTTGCAAGATGGGTTTGTCAATCTTGTGTATCTTAATGGTGGGTTTTATTTTATTTTTTTAGGTCAAGACAGCAATGACAATGACTGAGAAGATCTTGGCTAGGTCTTCTGAGAAACCCCATCTCAGCCCAGGTGAGAATGTCTGGGTCAATGTTGATGTCTTGATGACTCATGATGTTTGTGGACCTGGCTCGATTGGAATCTTCAAGAAAGAGTTTGGCCAGAATGCAAAGGTGTAGAATTTGTATTACCTCACTATGTTTTTTTTTTGGAAACCAATTAAGTGCTTGAAGGTTACTATTCTTAGTTCATTTGGTAATTGTTACTAGGCATTTGAATGATTTGTATACTTTGAATTAAGCTGTATTATTCAAAGGGTCTTGCTGCCCTGGGCTTAAGAAAAAGAAGAAAAAATCAACACTTTGCATCTATTTCAGACCAAGTTTCACTAATTTCATAACTCTTTTAGTATTTTCACCTGTTTTCAAAGCACGTTTTACATCAATCCTAGTATTAGACAATGCCCCAGTGCACTTGTTAGTATTTGCCTTATTTAATTAAGATAAGTTGTGATTTATGAAATGCAACAGTTCAATCACCAAACTGAAACACAGATTTTGAGGTCATCCATTGAAACCCTAGAATGACATTTCATTAAACAAAAAGCAAAATGAATTACTAAAACAGGAAAAAAAATTATTCTTATTATTTCATCTAGAATTCTTCATTACACATGATGAGGCGATTCAGTACCCATCAAAGTTTTATACTTTAACCTTGTATTGAGCTTAAGTTAATACATAGTTGGAGAAAATTGTGGAACATTGTGTTGTGGGATCCATAACAATTATTGAATTCATATTGTTGTTGGTTTCAAAAATGCTAATCACTTCGAAAATGGAATAATCCTTCGAATTTTATTAAGTTAAATGCTAACAAGTGCGTCATGGCCATTGTTTAATGCTGGGAAGTATGTAAAAGGTCTCTTGAAAATATGGAAAAATGTTTAAAAAATATATTAATTTCAATAAAAGTGCATTGAAGTTAGTGAAAAGTGTATTGTGTTCTACAAATATTGTCTTTTACTTATGCCCTATGCGTACTTGTTAGCAAGACCCTTTTATTAATAACTAGGAAACAACGCCCAATTAGTATACATTAATGTGTGTTTGGGAGAGAAAAGATTGTAACACACCTAACCTTTGGCATAGTTTACAAAAAAGACAAAATAGGCTAAAATAGCCAATAAGACAAAATAGCATATCAAACCCATAATCATTTCACTTTTTCTCTCACAAACATCATATCCAATTACAAAAAAGTCCAACCCTCTTCTCAAACACAAGTATTTTAGCCTACTAAAATAATTAAAAACTAAAATAGCCAATTTCCCAAACGAGGCCTATATTTAAAAAATCTGAAATCCTCTGAGATTGTGATTTGTAATTAGATTTCAATTTCAACAATGAACAACAATTTACAATCAAACAATCATAGATCTAATCCAATTAAAGAGAGAATTGAATTAGATCTACTATCAAACAACAATAAAACGACACAACGATTTTACGTGAAAAGGCTACAATTGAACTCCTCCAATTGTGACAAAGAACCATGGGTCAATGCCACAAAATAATCCATTAAGAAGACAATGAAATTACACAAGAGAACCCTCAATCATCTAGCAAATCCACACCCAAATTGAACCCAACTGTTGTGCCTTTTCCAACACCATCTTCATATCGGAATTGTTTCACCCAACATTGAATCCATAACGCCAAATTCAAATCCACGACAATGAGCCACTTCGGAATACACCAAAGCTTCATAAATCAAGTTCTTCGGAATCCACCAATAAACATCTCTCTAGGAAAGTGTATTTGAATGATAAATCCCTTGATGATCTTCAATGTAAAGCCTGTTGAACCATAGATCACTCTCAATTCATCAAGGTACACATATAGATCACGCTAGAGAACTCTCTTTCTCTGGTTTTCACACGTCATGATGAATATCTAAGAGTCTCACCTTAGAGATAAAAAAATGCACATTTAAGTAACTGAAACCGCGTTCGACTGCTCGAGCGCACATTTGGTCACTCGAGCAAACTTTTTGATATTGTAGGATTTTTCTCTAAGGCTCTGAGAAGCTGCAAGCATGTCTTGACTACTTGAGCGCACATTTATGCGCTCAAGCGAACATTTCTCTGCTCGAGCACGCATTTCTCTACTTCGGTACAAACGGCTTCTTTACTCGATCGCAACTTTCTCTGTTGGAGCGCACATACCTCTCCTTCAGCACAAACTGCTCTGCTCGAGCACAAACTATAAATTGGGTTGAATTCGCATCTAAACACTCTCATTCTCGCAAAAACAAAAGAGCGGATGCAATTACAATTGAATGGAGTTTTGTCCAACGGGATTGCCAAGCATAAAATACCTAACAATATTGACTGCTTTTCATAATTGTTTTGTTGTTATTTAGCTGTTTCAAAATGAAACATAATGTATTACACACATGCCATTATCTTTGATGTTTACACCATTTTCTTTGATGTTTACATCCACCGTAGCTTGCCTTGTGTTTTAGAGTTTTTGCTGTTTAGGTTTCGGTCCTTTTTGCCCCACTTTTCCTTAAAAGAAAACAATCTTTGTAAATGTCAAAATACATATGTAGCTGCTCATCTCTTTCAACGTTGTAGGTTTGGGACCGTGAGAAGCTTGTGATCATACCTGACCACTACATATTCACGACTGACGAACGAGCAAATCGTAATGTTGATATTTTAAGGGATTTTTGCATGGAACAAAATATCAAGTACTTCTATGATATTAAAGATCTTGGGGATTTCAAGGTACAATTTTTGTCCTTTTTTTATGTGAACTGCTATAATATCTTGCAAAAAGTTTTTTGTGTATTGCATATCTTTGTAAATGGGGAATAAAATTTGTCTAATGATTTTACAGGCTAACCCAGATTATAAAGGTGTATGCCACATTGCTCTTGCCCAAGAAGGTCATTGCAGGCCTGGAGAGGTGCTTTTTTCCCTCTCTCTTTTAAATACATGTTAGATTATTAAGAAGTATTCAATTTTCTGTGCTTATATGTCAACAATAATTGTTGCACCCTAATTTCAGGTCCTTCTAGGAACAGACTCCCACACATGTACTGCTGGAGCATTTGGCCAGTTCGCTACAGGAATTGGCAATACTGATGCAGGTTTTGTGTTAGGCACTGGAAAACTTTTGCTTAAGGTTTGTAAATGCTTTTTTTTTTTTTTCTTTCCATTGTCCGATGTTTTAGTTGGTTGTTTATTTTGTACAATTTGTTTCTTTCCCTAAAATTTTTTGTTCAAGTAAATTGCAGTTAGGAAGACTTCCTTCTTACTCTTAGATTTTGTGAATCTCTTACTAATATTGTAATCTGGATGCCACTTATGCTGCGAGTTAGATGCCACTTATCATATTTTCATGTTTTCTTTACTTTGCATCCAACAATACACATTCTTTTCCCAACAAATTTTGACATAAGTGAAGTGATAATACCTTCAAACTTTCATGTTTTCCTTACTTTGCATCCAACAGTACACATTCTTTTCCCAACAAGTTTTGACATACGTGAAGTGATAATACCTTCAAATGATTCTTTCTGTCTAGAACCTGGACTTACACATTCTACACAGATTTGTTGTCATATATTGTGCATAAAATGATTGGATGATTGCTTGGTAAACTTTGGAATTTATACGTGTGCTTGGCTGTTTTGCTTATTCTTAGGTGCGTGGATGAGAGGGTTTTTCCCCCTGATTAATTAATTTATGTGCGTGTGTGGATGGGGGTGGTAAATTAATTTATGTGCTTGTTCCATTCCCTTTTAATTCTATGTTTGGGCATGAATTCTCCAGAAGAGATTTGAATGTTCAAGAAAAATAGATCTTTAATGGGAAGAGTTATTTAAGCTGTATATTGAAACTACAGCTTGGTTTTTGTTTTCCAGGAAAACCTGTGAGTTCCTCCTGCCTTCTTTTTTCCATATTGAGGCTCTCAGCTTCAACATCTTGTAGTAAACCATGCGCCTTATTGCTAGTAATTAATATATATATATATATATATATAATAACTGGTTTAATGGATTTCAATATATTTGTAGTGTGAACTAATTTCTGAAATGACAATAACAAGGTTTGTAGTAGAGCCTGTTTTAGATAATTGTCACAATCTTGTGGAAACCAAAATAATGTTTGCATGTTTTACAGTGCTAATATTACAAAATCTGGAATCTTAAAATACTAACAGAGACAAAACTGATCGGTTTCAGTTTTCAGAAAATTCTACTTTTTTCATTTTCCATATTTTTTTTGTTTTCACTGAATTTTTTTAATGTTTTAAGCAATTTTTTAAAATTTTTAGACACATCTAACATAAATACACTTAAAAAGTATAATATTTGTGAAAAAAATCTTTAAAAAAATACTAAATACCAAAAATATAAAAAAAATTACAAAAATTCAGTACATTTTTCGTATTTTTGTGTATTTATTAATTTTTTTAAATATTTTACTATTTAGATACATCTAGGTAAGGTGCATCTAAAAAAGTAAAAAAATTGCTTAAAATTTTGAAAATATTCACTAAAAACAAAAAAAACACAAAAAACAAAAAACTCAATTTTTAGAAAACTGAAACCAAACACTTTCGTTATTTTTTAACAAATATAGAGCCAGTAAAATTATAATTTTCTGCACCATCCTTTGCCAATTTTTGTTCTGCTGCATGTGTTTAGTCAAGTTTCTTTAGTGGCACATGTCTACCTATTACTTTCTATTGTTTCCCTTACTTGTCATGTTGCTCTAGTTATATCTTTTCATGCTTGCCTGCTCCAATTACTTGCAATCTGCTTACATGTTCAAATTTCAGGTGCCTCCAACTCTAAGATTTGTGATGGATGGCGAAATGCCAGATTATCTGCTTGCAAAAGATTTGATTTTGCAGGTAAGTTTTGTCAGGTGTTCGGTGTATATTTCTTTTTCTGGGCATCATTTCTTCTCGTACTAAATAAGTTATGCATGTTTGTAAGTTGGCTTCAATTGGTTGTTTGGGATTTTTCAGGTTGTAATCATTTGTCAGAGCCTCTAATATTTGTTGTTTCATTTAATGGATTTTGAAATTGCAGATTATTGGTGAGATATCTATGTCCGGTGCAACTTATAAAGCGATGGAGTTTGTTGGCTCTACTGTTGAAAGTTTAACTGTAAGTTCATTTAATCTTCCAATGCAAGTGTGTAAAACCACTCTGTATCTCCTTATGAAGTTGTTTTCTAACTATTTCAATCATGTGATAATTTTTTCATTGATCTATACTGCTTAGATGGAAGAAAGGATGACATTATGCAACATGGTTGTTGAAGCTGGGGGAAAGAATGGTGTTGTCCCTGCTGACAGTACTACATATAAATATCTTGAGGTTAATGAATAAATCTTCCCCCTTCCCTCCTCTCTCTCTCTCTCTCTCTCTCTCTCTCTCTCTCTCACAACAACTATATTGTCTGCCTAGGCTTTTTGGTTATATCTAGTTTCCCAAATAGTGGTTATTCTATATACTTATTCATTTGTCCCAAAATTGTAGTCCTAATTTTCTTTTTTTTTTTGATATGCTGAACTTATTTTCCATGTTCAGATGTTGATGACTTCCTATAATTGAGTTTTTTGCTAGCTACTTTTAAAATCTAAATGACATGTTATAGACAAAAAACACTAATATGGCTCGCTTTTATTTGAAAAAATGGAATAGCAAATTATAATCATAGGTGTGTGCATTGGATCTGATTTTCTAAACCATTGTGAAAAATTCTTTTCCAACATGGTCAGCAATTTTGGGACAAGGGTAATTTTACCTGGCTAGCTGGCATTGTCAAGACTTAATAGTTGTGTCATTTGTTTACAGGATAAGACATCTATCCCCTATGAAGCTGTTTACAGCGATGAGCAAGCAAGGTAGTCAGAGATGAATCCTTTACCTAAGTCCATTATTTCTGATGCTAAAAATAAATTACATCTGCTGTTTGTATATCTTCTTTATATTTATTTGGTTTTGTGAAATATAAGAACATCACTTGAGAGAATCACTAAACATCCCTGAGATATTGATCAGTTTACTTCCTTCTCCATTGCATTCAATGGCAAAAATCCACCCCTGGGCTTAGCCATTTGGAACTTGAGCATAAGCACTAATGTTAATAACCTTTTTCTTGAGATATTTACTAACCTTACTTGGGTTTTTTCACGTAGACGTGACATGTTGGATACCTTGATAATCTAATAGGAAGAGAGTTGATCATCCTGTCAGAGAAATATAACAAACCTATCTGAAAGTTAGGTGCTTGTTGGTCAGTGTTTTTTTTTTTTTTCCCCTTCTTCTTTTTAGATCCCTAGAAATGTTATTTCCTTCCATGGGGAATGAACTGGCAAAGCCTACTTGCTAGTTTAGCATTGTATGTGTTTGCTAAGGTGTCCATTTCTAAGTTTCTGCAAACAATCTCTGTGAACAATCGCAAGAGCAAGAATGTCATTGTATCTTTGCCATAAAAAAACCTTCAAGAAACTTTCTTTTGCTCCGTGAATGATAATATGAATGTTCCTAGAATGTCTGAATAACTGAATGGTGGTTCCCTTTCTAAACTCTTTTTCAAACCCAGTAAAGTCATCGCCGTATACACCCTTAATCCAACACCCTTGCTCTGAATTGTTAGTGTAAGAACATAAACAAATAAATATAGTTATGGTCATCATAGTATTTGTCATGTATACTTTGTGGTTGTACTTCAAAGTTTAAACAGCTTTACCACCTCTGTTGTATAAAAAGCTCTAGTAGTTGGACATTCTACAAAGCTGTCTTCTGATTCTAGCACAACTATCCAAACCCTAGCGATCCAATTTGAACTTCTCTATATCCCATTTAAATGTGTTTTTGGGGCAAATATATCCATTGATTGGATATCCATTGTTCAGAAGCCATAGTTCATTCCTGTCAGCTTGATTTCCTATCATGAACTTCTATTGTTATACACAAGTTCCAGGTTCTGTTTATCCATGAGGGTGGGGTCCTGCTTGGTGTGCTCCTGTAAGCTGAACTATATTTAGACACAGGAAAACCTAATTATACAAACAATTATAGACTATGATCTTTGGCTTATGCAACACCAATTCCTTTTTTATTTTTTGGCTGAAGCAATCTTAATTGCTTTGATAATGAATAAACAACGCCCAATTAGTACACATTAGTGTGTGTTTGGGAGGGGAAAGATTGGGTACACACCTAACCTTTGGCATAGTGCACAAAATGATTGTCCCGAAACTTGAACTCATAACCTCAAGGTTATTAGGCCAAGGTTTTACCATTGAACCAATGGTCACCCCAGACTTCATAATGAATAGGACTGTAAAATTTTGATGGGTAGTTATTAAATGATGCCTCAGACTTCATATGGCAAAAGTTTGACATTGGCAGCAGGGATGCTTGGATTTTCTTGAACAGGTTTTTGCTTGTAACAAAGTTTATACAGGGAACACAAACAAAAAGACCATAGATGTTTGTTGATATGCAGCATGTGTGAGAGCTTGATATACAAGTTTGATCCGACCCCTAACAACTCTTAAGGTTTTGGATGAGGTGGTTATTAAACTGGCATCAGAATAGACAAAAGTGCATGTGTTTTTAGCTCCCTGTACCCTAATTATACGCATGATGGGGCATGTTGAGGATGTAAATATTCAGTTGCATTCTCTCGTACAGCTTAAAATTCTTGGGGTAACTGGTCACCTAACAATCATCTTTAGAATTTGTTTTTTTCTAGTGTTGTTGAAGTTAAAAATTTATCGTAAGAGTTAAAAATTTCTCTTTGCGATAATAGATTTACTTAATAAACTTGGGGAGTACTTGTGTAGATTTGAAAAAACTTAATACCGTGTTATCAATATTCGTAATCTATTTAAAATGCATACTTGCAAAATCAATATATGCATTTTATCTTTTTTTCAAGAACTCTCTTATATTAATTTATTTGTTGTTTTGCTTTAATAGGTAATTTCTGTTGATGAGTTAATTTTGTGTCTTCTAGATTTCTTTCAGAATATAGATTTGATATCTCAAAGCTGGAGCCATTAGTGGCGAAGGTGAGTTATAGACCTCTAGTTTCTTAGATAAAATAAGGAAGAAAAGGAGCCATTAAGCATTTCTCTTTTCTTCTCTTATTTTTTATGAGAATTAAGCAAAAAACCAAAGTATATTGATTGCTTTTTAAGGAATTCAATTGCAGGGAAAATTATAATTTTTGAAATATTGGTATTTCCATTCATTGTAGTGAGTAATTTATTCTGTATAATTGTAGCCTCATTCTCCTGATAATCGTGCTTTAGCAAGGGAATGCAAAGATGTGAAAATTGACAGAGTCTATATTGGATCTTGTACTGGTGGAAAAACTGAAGATTTTCTTGCTGCAGCTAAAGTTTTCCTAGCTTCGGTAATACATCGAATATCTATATTGCTTATTTTGCCTGTCATCAGAATTTTGTTTGTTTTGTGCTGACAAGCATCTGGACTTCACTTCTCTAATATATTTACTTTCCTGGGTACAGACAGCAATTAAATTTAAATTACCAGTGTTTCTTCTCTGAGAATTCTAAGCAAACGGTATTTTTCTAAGTTAAATGGGGAGAATCTAGATAACATTATGTATGATAAATCATTTGTAGGTGTGGTAAGCCTATTTTACATTTTCTGACTGTTTATTTACATGCTCTTTAAATTTTTTTTATCCTTTTTATTTTTTGTCCACAATTATATGTTTACATGTGGCTTTTTTCTTTTTTTTCTTTTTTTTTTTTTTTTTGGAGCTATTGGGCTAATTGTATTACGTGCAGGGAGGCAAGAAGGTCAAAGTTCCCACTTTCCTTGTCCCTGCTACCCAAAAGGTTGGTAACATTAGGCTTTCTAGTGCTGAATAGTTTTTAACTATGTTCAAGAAGAGCATTTAAAATATGGTATTTTCGTATGATCAAATTTTCAGGTGTGGATGGACGTATATAGTCTTCCGGTTCCAGGATCTGGTGGCAAGACCTGTTCCCAGATATTTGAGGAAGCCGGTTGTGATACACCTGCAAGTCCTAGTTGTGGTGCTTGTTTGGGTGGCCCTAGAGACACTTATGCACGCATGAATGAACCTCAGGCAAGTTATACCTATTTTCTATTGGAACACAAATTGACTGATCATGGAAAAAATCGTAGCTTTATGAAGTGAATTATGTGACTTGCCTACAGTTCTCACCCCCAACATTCATTGCTTCCTGACTTGTTACCTCCAAAATAAATGAATAAAAAGAAATAAAGAAAAATATTGTTCTGGAACCAATCTTTGTTAGGTTATTTTGATGGTGAATACGACCCTAGATACCCATAGCAGCTCTGAATCTGGGCTGTTACCCATTTGAACCCACTTCATTTTTTTTGAGTTTTAACAAGTATCAATAGTTGATATGGTTACATGAATATGACTCCTCCTTGGAAATATCTGTGCCATCTAGGTGATAAAATATATATGTATGATTTTTTTCTTTTTCTTTTTGAAATGATAAGAAATGTCATCCATTCAAATTTCTTGATTGTTGCTTTTTAGTTCAGTGAATGAGCTGGATGGACTGTCTTTGCGCATCACATTTTGACCAAATTGCCAATGACCATTTGAACTTTATATCAGTCACAATGACCTCTTTTAACAGCGTGAACTTGTCGCACTTTCTGAAACACACAAAAAAAGAGAAGAAAAAAAAAGAATAAAGAATAAAGAGAGAGAAACAAATGGATTTTAAATGTTTTACCAGTGTCCCACTTGGCTGCTAATCACCTTCTGTAAAATTTGGTTTGCTTTCTGCCTGGACCTCATAACCAATCGCATCAGGCTATATAGTTATGAATATTGCAGGAGGATCTGGTACCAAGATAAGTTGGCCTTCTTCTGGGACAAGATAATCCCTCATATGCGGGATAAAAGGCCCCACGAGATTAGTTATTCCAGGCCAGTTTTGTACTACCAAACATAGGATCATTTTATCCCAAGATTATTTAGTACTATTCCGTCTCCTTGGCCATAAAGTATTCTTGTTAGACTAATATCAAAGAAGGAGGCTACATGCTGGGTTGCTTTAATTCCCATCAGCAACTATACAGCTGGCTGGTTGTATTTCATTTTAGAAAGTTGCTATTGTTTGAAGAGGGAAATTATCTTTCCTATAATCCATTTTATTCCAATACTGATATATACAACATACTTGTATGGCAAATATACACCTTTATAACTCCCGAGAGTGGCTCGTGATTGCAGGTCTGTGTATCAACAACAAACAGAAACTTCCCTGGTCGAATGGGGCACAAAGAAGGCCAAATTTATCTAGCTTCTCCATATACAGCAGCAGCCTCTGCTTTGACTGGCTTTGTCACAGATCCAAGAGAGTTTTTGCAGTAAGCCATTAAACGTCCCTTGCGGTGATTCCTCTGTACTCTACTGAAAGACCTTTTATTGAGGTGCTAAAGCAAAATATCAGGTTCAGTTTATCTTCTACTCTGAACTACTTGTATGTTTTGATTTTGTAGAAGCTTTTAATGGATGATCTTTGTGAGAGATGGTAGTAGTATCTGATCTTACTAGTTAATGAAGATACAAAATGCTTGGTGGTGGTGAAACTATATATGCTGTGACATTGAAGAGAAAATGTTTGTTTTAATAAAATGCTCGAGGCATACACTGTTTGTGTAGTTTTTGATCTGCTTGTTAGGTTGCTGTGTATTGCTTTTGTTATGTCAGAGGTTAGCAGAAAGAAATTAAGCTATCTGAGTCTGTTTTTAAAAGCTTGTGCATCCCGGCATTAAGGTCTCTTGGAACCTAGGCACACCAGGCACAAGTTGTTGAAGATAAAGTAAAATTTTAATATGGGCAAAGTTTTCTACATAACCTAAATATTTTTAGAATTTTAAAATTTTATAAAATGTCGTTTAATGTTTTAAAAATCATAAAAATAAAGTCCATTCCAAAAAATCTTTAGACATAACATTTAATTTTTTATAAACTTAAAGCACAAACATAACACCCAATAAAAGTTATAAAACACAACAAAAGTCTTTGTTCATCCGCTGCACATTATAGAACATTCATTCTATGCCCCATCCTTTTTGCAATCTAAGAAAACGCAGCTGTTGAGAATTAGGCATAGTCTGTCAATTATATATTTTATTCAAAAAATTAAAAAAGTTATTATATGTTGTCATATAAAAAGTTAAAAAATTATTAAAACAACATGTTTCCAAACACACTTCATAGTGACACTTCTGAACTTACGATATTAATGTGTTATTCCTAAAAACACTATGTAAGAACATGAATTAATAGAACTCAATGAAAATTTCGTTTAAAAATATATATTTAAACATATATATATATATTGAGATTTTTTTTCTAATTTACAGTTTGCTAGGAATGCAGCTAAAAAAAACTTTTTTTATTTTTATTTTTTGGGCAATTAAGTTAAAAATCAAACAAGTTTGAAATTTGCTAAAAGGTTAAAAAGCAACTGTACTTTCTTTAAAAAAATGAGTAATTTTTTTAGCAACTTTTCAAAGGCATTAATTACTAAAATATTCGATACCAAACTATTTCAATTGTGCTTTGATGGAGCACTTTACCACTGCAAAATCATCTTGGCTCACAGAGAGTAAGGGGTTTTTTGGGATATTCTAAATAAATGTATTTTTTAATTTTTTATGAAATATAGGTTGGATTTGAAATGATATGGTAGAGAGATAATGTGACTTAAATAGGATATTGACTTTTTGACTTTTTTAATATTCCAAACCTAGCCTAATTGTAGGGACCATCTTTACAAAGTCTTTTTGCAAAGAAAAGGTTGCAAAGAAAATAAAGAGGTTTTTCCAACTTCCAAAAGGCCTTCTTGCTTAAATTTGCAGGAACTGAAATGCTCTTTTTACAATTTATTAAAAAATAAAAATTTAAAAAAACATTTTTCATAAAATAAAAATAAAAAAACCCATCCACACAGCATTGTTCAAACAGCTTCAAAAATTGAACCATTTTATGTACTTTAATCCTTCTACCAGTTGCCAAAAAAGCCATTCACTCTGTTCGGTGTCTATTTTTAGAATTCACTTTTTAGAAAATATTATTTTTTTATTTTTTGCGTATTTTTTTTGTTTTTATTAAATTTTTTTAATATTTTAAGTAATTTTTAAAATTTTTAGACACACTTAACATAAATATACTTAAAAAGTATAATATTTGTGAATTTTTTTTGAAAAAAACAATCACTAAATACCAAAAATATAAAATTAAAAAAAGAAAAGAAAATTTAATATATTTTTTGTATTTTTGTGTATTCATTAATTTTTTAAAATATTTTTTCACAAATATTTTACAATTTAGATGCATCTAAGTAAGGTGCATCTAAAAAGTTTTTGAAAAAACATTACTTAAAATTTTAAAAATATTCACTAAAAACAAAAAAAAACTCAATTTTCAAAACATTAAATTTGGAAAATTGAAACCAAATACATTGCTTATTTTTCCTGAGAATTGTTTATGACGTTTTGAAAACATCAACCGAAAAACAAAAAAGAATTATGCAAACTAAACTTGGGTAAACTATCAATAGGCCCTAATAGTTGGATTTAATTCTCATCAAGTTCTATTGAAAATAAGTTATAGTAAAATTGTTGCTAAAAATAATTTTTTTGTAACGATTTTTTGCATATCGCTAAAAATTGACAATTAATGATTTTTTTTTGTCACAATTTTATAAATTGTCGTTAAACCTTACCATTAGTGACATTTTTCTGTGACAAATTTTTTAAACTATCGCTAAAGTTGAAAATTAGTGACTTTTTGTGACAATTTTCAAATTGTCACTGAAAATTAACAATTAATAACGTTTTTTAATAATGTTTAATAAAAAATATCATTAATTATTATAAGACCTATTGGACAAGTCTACCTATTAGAACTTACACATAAATCTCCCTTTATTCTTATCTATTATGCATCAAGTTTTCAGAAGATCTCAATCTATAATGAAGAAATGATAGTAACTCGTTATTTTCGTTGACTTTTTTTAGTTATTTCTTCAAATAATATGATGAGAAAATATAATTATTTCTTTTATTTTTATACTTGAATGAGAAATCACAATTTTCTTTTCTTTTTTTCTTTTTCTTTTCTCATCTGACCTTCCAATACCTACTAAATGAGAAATCTCGGGGTGTTTTTAACATGATTTTACTTTGTCTTTGGCACCGAGCTGTGGAGTTGACAAGAAACACATGCCTTCTCAAATAGAATGGATATGGTTAGTGTAGTACGTAAATTACTGGTAAATTGCAACACAAAACCAAGATTAAGAGTAAATTCCAAGCTACATGTAATTTTACTTTCCACAGTTGTGACAACTCTCACATCTGATTAGCTTTAATTTGAGATTAAGCATGATAAGTAATTGATTAAGATGAAATCCTAAATTGATTACATGAGTGTGTTGTTTTAATTGTATTTCTATCTGTTTGTTACAGAACGATCTGTTCATGTTTTGATTTCAAATTGCGAATTGAAAATCTTATCGGCGACCGATTCAGAAATTGATTTATGTTATATGCTAATTAGGATTTATATGATTTTATGGTAGGTTTAATTAAAATTCGATTTGGAATGATTAAATTAGAATAAATAATGTTAAATTACTTTAGCTTGAGTTTATTATACTTTTGCCATTAATGGGTCTTTACAAGGCCATTTGCTTGATTCCTTATATGTTTGGCATCATCTACCTTCCACCTCCTTGAGCAAAAACGTGAGTGAGAGAGAGTAGGAAAAAATTTGATTCAACTAGAGAATTGCTTAAAATTTGAGGAAATTGAAGAAACTTTGAGGATTAGTTCATCTAGCTCAAGATTTTAGTGTCATAAGCCCAATTGAACATCTAAGGTAAGGAAACCAAGTCCCTAGTCTTGAATTTAAGTTGTATCACCTATGATCTCAAGTGAATTGAATTATGAGTTATGAGATTTAAGCTTAAGAAACATTAATTCATGCATGCATGTCCATATCATGGAGTTTTGAAGTTATTTTGCATGAAATTCTTCCATGCATGTCTAGATTATAGTTGTAATCTAAGAATTCATCATGTTTTTGAAAAGAATGTCTCTTTGGATCATGCATTGGAAGCTATGAATTCAAATAAATGCATGCATGGCATAATTACATCATGTTCTTGAATTTTGGGTTGAATTTGTGTTCAGTTGGTATACTTTTGGGCTTTGATTTTATGAAATGGTCTTTAAATCATGTTGTATTATGAGTTTCTAAGTGTTTTCCAGAAAATTGGCCCAAAAGGATGAGTTTTGAAATATTTGATCCATGATTTGAGCTTGGGGAGCAAATTTGGAAAACCCAGAATTCGGCTTTCTCGCTCGAGCGAAGGATTCCACCATCGAGCGACCACCTTTGTTTTCAGAATTCCACTCGAGCGACGGAATGCTGGCTCGAGCGTAAATTGCAAGCTCTCAGGTTTTTGCGTGTGCAGACGCACGCTCGAGCGACGAGACCTATGCTCGAGCGAGGAACTGTGTCTCACGCTCGAGTGAGCATCGAGCGGAGAATTTCAGCAATCAGTACTTTTTACATTTTTGTAGATCGCTCGAGCGAGGAAGTCTACGCTCGAGCGACCTCTCTCATTTGGTAAGCTCGCTCGAGCGAAGAAAGCCATGCTCGAGCGAGACCCCTGTTTTCAGTAAGTTTTGAAAAATATTGTTAAGTACATTTTTGCATCCTCATTCCATCCTAAGCATTCCTAGGCTATGTTTAAGGCATCATAATGAGGATAATGTTCTAGAACCACACCAAATCAAGTTAGGGGCTAAGTTATTAATCCCGAGTATGTAATTTAGTGTGTGTTCGTTCTGCAACTGTGTAGGGTTGACACCCGAGGACGCTGATTAGCCTGCCTATAGCCCAGTAATCTGTGAGTAACAATGCTGTAAAACTATGTTTAGAACAATTGACTGTACTGTTTCTGAAACGACATTGTTTACTGAATGAATGTTTGTCCTATTTTATGAACTATACCCGTGGCATCCATAGCAATTGACTGTTACTGTTACTGCTACTGTTACTGCTACTGCTACTGTTACAGAGATCTCTGTCGGTTCCAATGTTTGGAACTACTATTGTTTACTGTTTTGATGGCCATCAATTGACTGTTTGGTCTATTAAGACCTACTGTACTGTTCTGCTATTGGATGTACCACGTATCACTGCTATGATTTCTAAATGATTGACATGGCATGAAGTATGAGTCACTGATTGAATAACTGATCTACAGATGCAATTGACTATTTTAATTACTGAAATGACATTCATTCTTAACCCCTTTACGTATTTGTTATTCACTGGGCTTTAGCTCACTGTTTATATATATATGTAGGTGGCTAGGCACCGAACCAAAGCTAGAAACGTCGAGTTAAGCTCATGTTTTGTCTAGCCAACCGTTGTGCCTCACTTCGAGATTCCGAGTCTGCTCGAACCAAGGCTGTTTTGGAGGTGTTTCAGATTCACTCTTTTGTCTCTGTTATGTATCGAATGTTTAAGACTTGATTGTACAGTTATGGTGAAGGGATTGGATCCCTAACATGCATGTTATGTGTATCTGTTATGTATATATGTTTATGGTTATGAATTTGGATTAGTCCATAAAAGTCCTTTTCCATTCAAACTTTCACAGCTCATTGGACACCTTGTTATTACTGTTTGGCTTCCGCCAGCCCCTTTTATATTGTATTACTGTTTTTACTATCATTTAAGCCTTCGGTAATCACGGATTACTGGTCAATTACGATACTAAACCCTTAGGGACGGATTTTGGTCGTAACAACAATACTCTAGTCCAATGGAATTCATCTATTCAATGCAAACAATCCACCAATGTCACAACCAAGAAACCATTACAAATAATTAGGGCCACTTCAGTCCATCAAAACTTTACATCCAATAAACAATGAGGAAGTAAATAAAGTTCTAAGATTCTACAATTACTAGCTATATATATATATTTTTATGACATTTTTCTTATTAGACTTTTCATGCTCTCGAAGATAAATGAAACATATGTTCATAATAAAACGACAAAAAAAAAAAAAAGAAAAAAAGAATTTTGAAAAAAAGAAAAGAAAATGAAGACTTGACACCACCCCAAACTTGGGTGTGCATGACAAGTTATTGACCATTTTCTACTCACCTGATCAAAGCCAATCAAGTCATCAGGATTTTTCTGTTCCCGTGACTAAAAATACTCATAATCAAATGAGTTTTGAAACAAGAGAACAGGAGAACAGAAGGATTTACAAATAAACACAGAACTAAAGAATTTGAAAACAAAGACACTTGGCGAATGAGATTGTGGTTGTTCCATTGTCTTCTGTTCCATGCACTCACAGTTCAAAGAAAGGACCTACCGGCTTCCCACAAATGCATTGGCACTCATACCCATATATGTTGCCAAAGCAAGAGAACAATCCACTACTACCATCGTCAGTGTGCCGACGTATGTGTTGACTGGTCGATCTGTAACTACTTCCTCCGAACCCTCCTCGGTCATACAAAGGAGGGAGCTCCGTCCGCCACCTCTCGAGCTTTGATCTTAGCCCTTCCACACTTTCATCTATGCTCCATCCATCCAACACCGAGCTCTCATTGTCATCTAAAGGGTACCTTTCCCATTCCCTTTCCCTTGCCACCGCCGCAGCTACTTCTGATGGTGACGGGCCGACCTCTGAGTCGGACCAGAAAGAATGAGCTTTGTGTGGTGCTCCTTTATATATGTACTTGCCATTCACTATAGATGATCCTTTTGGTCCCCCAAACTCAAACTTTGAAATAGGTTTCTCTTTGGTGGTTGTTGATCCAACCCCTAACCCACTATTCTTTGTTGGAGATTTATCTACATTTTGCTTATTAGTTGTAATTGGGTCACTAACCTTCTCATTGGGTACCTTATCTTTGGGTGAATCTAAACTGGGACGCTTTTCTTTTTCATTTTTGGCCTTTGGTTTGAACGAGTCCTTGCTCACAATTGAACCATTGATTAGTGAACTTGCTTTCCCTTTCTTGCCTTTCTCTTTCGGTTGCTCTTTGAATTCTGCCCCACTAATCACTGAACTTGCCTTCCCTTTCTTGCTCTTGGTGGAGAGCTCCGAAGCACTGAGCAATGAACTAGCCTTTCCCTTCTTTTCTGGGACCCCAACAATGGACCCATTGGTCGTTGACAAATCATCAAAGGTAATGCGTTCGCTACGTTCGCTTCGTGAACGACGCAATATAGGTTTGATCACGGGTACATTAGTACTGGTATGATTATTATTATTATTACCTTGATTGTGCGAGTCATCTTCCATCAAATCACGGTATCCAACTGCTGATGCAGAAAGCTGGGTATATAACGGCATGCTACGCATGGAACTATCAAGGACAGTCACGCCAATGTTGAGTATCCCTTGGGGACGACCAGATGGACGACGGACCTGGAGGGCGGCAAAGCGCATCCCGACGTGGTGATGGTGGTGGTGGGTAGGCCGAGATGCAGACGGAATAAGATTATCTACGAGGACACGTACCGTGCCCACGAGGGTGTCTCGGAACCAATGAACAGCATAGATCTCGATCATAACCGCCGAGGTGTCGCGGCGGAGGAACTCGTCATCGACACGGAACACGAACTTATCGTTCCACGTGGGGTTGTTGTTGCCTTGTGTGTCCACGCTCGTCGAGAGCTTGCGCTTTGGGTGTACCCATGCGGTTGCATATGTTCGCATGTTCTTTGACACCAGTTCCAAGTCCTGACCGGATATGATATTTAATTCTAGAAGTTGGAATGGCTTTATTATACGAGACATTGTTCACGCTAGTGGTAGTAACAATCACAACAACCTCCTTTTTGATAATGCTTGATTTGATATTGTTAAATATCAAATTTGATATTATTGATCGTGATGGTGACGGTGACGATGATTGGTAACAATGACGTTTTTGTCAAAATCAAATTTGATATTGCTGATGGTGGTGGTGGTTGAAGGGGTGAGCCGCCCGCCGCCGTCCAAGAATGGGACGACGAGGGAGGAAGGAGGGCATCAACGTGAGGGAGATGAGGAGGGAAATGGGGAGAGGGAGAGAGTCCCCTCCATAGGACATTAAAGATTGACCAGCGAATACAAAGGAGAAGACAGTTAATATATCATTTTTTTTTACTGGTCTTTGATACATGCTGAGTTGGCTAATCTTGTCTAATTTAAGGATGTTTTGATAGTATTTTGTGCTTTTTTTTTTTTTTTTTTGACATTGGGTTTTGGTATGTATAAGACTTATTAGCCTAAATTTCAGGTTTAAAATAATAAATTAATCTCTAACGTTTGCCAAACCCATGTTTAGATTAGGGCTTCATTTCAAGCCTATGTTTTTTTTAGTTATTTTTTATAACCGTTTTATGATATTAATTTTTTTTTATTTTTTAAACTTTCAGGAGATTCCCAATCTTAAAATAAAAAAAATAAAAAATAAAAAACGCTTTTAGGAGATTTAAAATGTAAAAGAAAATAAATATTAAATAAAAAATACATAAATAAATAAATAAATAAACTTTAAAACAACATGTTGCAAACGAGGCATTTGGATTGAATGGTAAATTACATTGTGATTTTCGTAATTTAGTTTTTATGTCAATTTGGTTCAAAAAATTCTAATTATATCAATATTTCCTTTAACTTTTTGTATTTTGTCAATTTAATTTAATAGAGGCTTTAGTCAAAGCCGCATCATAGTAAAACTTTAATACATTAAGGACAAGCACAAAAAAAAATTTTGAAAAATTCAATACATACTATTATTATTAAAATATTGAACTTTAAAGTAATATAACTTTTGATATAGATGTCAGTTTTTAATAAAAATAGTATTTTTAGAATTTTCGCATAAAATCTATCAAACAAAATTCATATTGACTATGAAATTCTTAAAATAAATAAATAAATAAAAATAAAAATTATTACCGTCGAAATTGATGTAAACAGTAACAGTAACATGTTCAATTTGGTTCAAAAAAATTCTAATTATATCAATATTTCCTTTAACTTTTTGTATTTTTTCAATTTAATTTAATAGAGGATTTAGTCAAAGCCGCATCATAATAAAACTTTAATACATTTAGGGCAAGCACAAAAAAAAAATTTGAAAAATTCAATACATACTATTATTATCAAAATATTGAACTTTAAAGTAATATAACTTTTGATATAAATGTCAGTTTTTAATAAAAATAGTATCTTTAGAATTTTCTCATAAAATCTATCAAACAAAATTCATATTGACTATGAAATTCTTAAAATAAATAAATAAATAAAAATAAAAATTATTACCGTCGAAATTGATGTAAACAGTAACAGTAACATGTTTGATAATATTGTCCAAGGAAAAAAAATATTAAAAAAAAAATATTTTATTTGCCCTTACTCAATTATGTGTTTTCTCCGTAGGGGAATTATTAAACAAAATAAATTAGATTGTCCTTTTCATCAAATAAGGGTCTAATGGAGGGTGGAGGGATTTTGGTTAAATTTTTCTAATCTAATTGATAGCATCTATTAAGAAATTAGACAAAAACAAATGGTAAATAAGTCCATTAAAAAGGGAATGGACTATTTCCAAATTAAAAGTCAATCTCTCAATTACTTTGTAGAGAGTGAATGAACTATTTTATTCCTTGATTTCGGCCTAATTTTTAAAGGACGTTATCAATTAAACTAAAATGACACAGTATGAAAAATTCAAGAATAAGATACAATTAGAATTATAATATAGGTTTATTTTGTCTTTGATTAAAATATCTCACATGGGCATTTTGTGATGGAATTGTTAAAACAATTTTGTGACAACATTGTTGTAGTCGACGATAATTAGTAATATTTTTTTACATATTTTAATTTTAACATATTCTAAGAATGAGCTAATTAAAGATGTTTCATTCTTGTTTTCAGTTTTTGTTTGGTTATTTGGCGCTTTTTTTTTTCTTTTTTTTTTCATATTCGGTATGGTGTTTATTTTAATTTTAATATAATTGTTTTATAATATTTTTTTGTGAAAAAATAAACACAGTTTATCCACAGCGATACGATAAAAATTTTAAAATTATAAATTATACGAGGTTTCGGCAAATATTGTGTAATATGAGGTGTTTTGGGCGGCGGGCCAATATTGTGTTAGCCTAATGTTGGGTGGGCCAAAGAAAAAATATTCGAGGTACCGTTGCCTTTAGGGTTGTTGTGAGAAAGTATTTTAGTTAAAACGTGTAAAAAAGTATAGAGGGGTGTTTTAGGAAGTTGGTAAAAAATTAATTTTTTAATTTTTTTAGCTCATTTTATCTTTTTGTGAATAAATTATGTGAGAGGTAATATGATCCAAAATTGATAAAAGGCTAGAAATTAATTTTTTACCAGCTTCCCAAAAGTGCACAGAGTGATTTTTTTAATTTTTTTAATTTTTGACTGTTTTATATTGTTCGCCAAAGCAAGCCTAAAAGACCTTAGAAAAAAGGTTCACGTACTTTGAGTGCTCAAGTGATAAAGACCTGTTTTAGCCTGAGATTAATTTTGAGTCTCATCTTCATCTTTATAAAATGAGAGTTTTTTTTTTTTTTTGATAAATTCTCTTTTTAAGAATATTATTTTATCCGATTCATATTCTTTTTTACTATTTCATTAGATCATATTTGAAGTAAGAAGACCAAAGCACCTTCAATCTCTCCTGCCCCCATTAATATTGATATTTAATGTTGATTGTTGTTATGTTTTAGTAGTTTCCACACATCTAAATGTTGATTATACGTGATGATGTGAATGTTCACGTAGATGACATGAATGTGAATATTTACATTAAATAACGTGAATGTAAATGTTTATAGACGTTGTGATAAATATGATGTTAAGGTTCACATCAGCATTGTATCAAATTACACAACTACAAGTCTCAACTTTCATTTAAATATAAACGTGACTGTACATGATGACGTAAATGTTCACATTAGATGACGTCACTGTCATTATATTCATATTAATTTGAAATGAATTTTTGTTATTATGTTGTCAATTACATGATGTGAATATTCACATCATTATATTCACATTAATTTGAAATGAATTATTGTCATTGTGTTGTCAATTGCATTATGTGAATATTCATACTAAAATATACGAATATAAATGTTCACAACACTATATTAGATGAGAGAGAATGTTCACATGTTGTGAATATTCACATCACTGTTGTAAACGTTCACATCAGATAAGAGAGAATGTTCACATTATTTTTAATGTGTTGTCAATTAAAAATATATTCATATTATTTAATAATATAAAATAATAGCATCGATATTATTTAATTTGTGTATGAAATTTTTTATGCCTTAGTTCTTTCCCTTCTTTCTCCTCCCCTAACATTAAATATCAATATTAAATATAATGGTACAAGAGTCTAAGAAAATAGTGTAAATCAAGAAAAATAACTTTATAAAATAAAAGTATAAATATATGGGATTAAATAAGTTAAAAAATTCTTTCATAGATTTCTTGAATTAGAATGATAAAATTTTGGGTTTTAAATAGAGAAATAAGAAAATTTACCTGCATAAAGCGAAGTAAAAGTTTCAGTTCAATTTTATGTAAAGTTATAATGAAACAAAAGTAATAGTACGTTGTTGATATATAACTTATGAATTGTTTGGAGTGTTTTAAATAAATATATTTTTTTTTAACTTTTTAGATTAAAAAGCTGAGAAAAAAAATAGTTGTTTGGGATAATATTTTAATTTTTATGAAAAAAATATGTATTAAAAAATTATATAAATTAATGTATAAAAAAAGATTGGGATAGAATAGACTGTACGATAGGATTAAATAAGGGTGTGCAGAAAGACAAACTTGTCTATTTCAAAATCTCAATTGGAGTAATTCAAAGAGTTCTAAATACTGGTCTTGAATCTTCAGGCAAACCTGGCTGCAGGGTAACAAAGTCTAGGCCTCTTTCAGGAGGTGGTCATAGCGAGGAACTCGTCAATTATTATATATTCATAAAAAAAACTACGTTGATCGGGTATTAATAATTATTTGATCAGATTAATTTTTTTTCAATCGTTAATTATAACATCATTCATTTTATAAATTTTAACTGATTTGATCATATAGTTAGCGATATTCGATCAACATGATTTTTTACAGGCATATAATACTCGATGAGTTCTATACATTAAATGATTCAGATTATTAAAAAGTGACCTGTGATGGGACTCCACGACCGAATAGCACCATGTTATTTGTGTACCTAAATAAGTGCAATTTTGCCAAAAAGTAGCCCCGCCTGTGGGATGTCAAAGTTGTTTGAAAATTAATTTTGTGTAAAATTAATTTTTTAATATTTTTTTTAAATAGTGATAACTTTTAAATTTTTTAAATAATTTTTTAAGTTTTTAGATTTTTTTAGATATTCCAAACCAGGTCCGAGAAGAATTGAAATAATTTTACCATGAACTTGGCTTTTTAGTTTAAAAAATTATAACTTTAAAAAATTATTAAAAAAATAAGTTAATACCCTAGTCATTCATATTTTTCTATACAATTGAAAAAAGTTGTTTCTAAACATTTTTTTTTTTTTTTAGAAATTTAGTCAAAACTCTTTCATTAGAATCTTGTTTGGTGAAAATAACAGAATTTATTTTTCTTCAAAAACTCCCTAAGGAGAAAATACATAATTGAGTAAGGAGAAAATAAAATATTTTCTTTTTTTTTCTTGAATAATATTGCCAGAGTAACATGTTACTGTAAACCAAAGTAACATGTTACTATGAGATAGAGTAGTAACATGTTACTATCAAGGGAGCTTTTTTTATAAATCCATCTTTAATTACTTATGTTCCATCCAATTCATATTCTTTTT